TGTTATGAAAACATCACTTGATTTACAGGGGAGCAGTGGTGTGGTTTACTTTCCTATACCATATATGGTCATACTACCTCTAGAATTTATGACGTTCACTTTTGATGTCACTGCTTTCTGCCTGTGAGGAAAAGCTATAGACCAAATAGAAGAAAATGAAAGTACTTAATTTCCTCCAGGCCTCTTTTCTTTCTTTTCTTTGTGTAAAATTTTTCTCAGGTATTTCCCAACATGGTAGCAGAATTCTCATATAAATATGCTGATAGAGAGAATTGTCAAATGCTTTCCTTTCCTTCACAAAAATTTATCAGAAAAACTGTTTGTTACCCCCCTCAAAAGGTGATTTATAGAGGAACAATTGTATGTGTGGCATGATCTCACCAAGTAAGGGATTTCCTATCTCTGTTCTTATTCCAGAAAGAAATGTATTTGTTCAGTTCATTATCTTTATGAATCAAAGTGTACAATGGTGGTGAGGTTTTCTACATTGATCTAGAAAGTAAGAATAGGAGAGAATTATAGCAGAACACATTCTTCTTGATAGCAGGAGAAATGGAAAAACCTAGTTTGATGCAAGACTTTCTCATGGGGATTATCTCAGATCTAACAATGTGACTGAACTCATATTGCAAAATTTCCATTCACCAGGAGGAACTAAAGGCATCTTCCTTGTATCTGGTTGCTTATGTTCACAATACTCTTAATGAAAGGATATCTTGGAGAGCTTTACCACTCTGTTTCATTTGGTTTTAATTAAACAATGTGATATGAAGGTCTGAGAAGGGAAATGACAAGCATATAGCCTGTAAAACCAAGATTACAAAACTATAAGACTAGGCTAACTTTCTGCTGTCTAAGGATTTAAGTATTCAAGACACTGCATAGAATATGACAAGAGTGACTGAAATATTTGTGGTAAAAGTTAAACAACAGTACAGCAGTTAAACACCACTTCTATGCAGCTGCTGAGTGCAAACAAAACGGTATTGGTTAATTGACATGTGGTGTATGACACACAATAGCAAAACCACTTGATATGCCATTTATTTAAACTTTTCCCAATCTGTGTCATTCCTCATACAATTTTTATTTTCCTGAACACTTCTTGAGCATGAATACTCTGTCTGAATTAGGAGATGACACATGCACACACACATGCATACATGTGCACACATAGCTATATAAATTATGTGGGATATCAATTTATTCTCTTCTAAGGGACGGCAGAGAGTCCCAGTTTGTGACTGTCTATCGTAGTAGTAAAGATTAAAGTGCACCACAATGAATTTACCAGCCTAGATGCTTTTCAGCACCATTTGTGCTTTGGGGAAGAGTGCAGAAACAGGTTCAGGTTCTCTTCTATCTTCCAGCTACTCTGGATTGCCTAGGAGTATGTTACTAGTAATGAAAAAAACCACATTTATATGGTTTTATGGGTATCTAATACATTACCAGTTCTCATTAAAAAAAAGGAAAAGTCATTTGTTTAAAGCATCAGAGCATATAAAGATGGTGAAATGTCAAACTAAACCAAATCTGAATTCCATGCATGGTAGAAAAATATTATATTACCAACAAAACTTCCCGAAATAAAAACATGCTGTACAGTCTCATATACATGCAAAAATGGTTAAATATAAAAAGAATGACAAATGTCATGGCAAATGTCTAATGTTTCTACAGTTGGCAATATCCTTTCCTACGTCATACTAACTACTTGGAAGTAAAAAAAAGCAAAGAGAAAGACATTGAGATCAAGCAATAATAACTTGTAACAAACAGGAAAGATCTAGGTCTGAAGTTTCTTGAAATTTATGGCTCATGTAATGAAAGGTTTAAGTTTGTTCCATTCAAATTTCAAGGCAGGAATCACCTGAAATTTCCTGACATGTCAGATTTCCCAAAAATGCTTGATGTCAAATTCCATGTTATTAATTTTTATAAAATTTCTTATAGGAAAGGATCTCATTTCATATGCTTCTGGAAATCAAACTATTATAAAGGAAACTCTATAGGATTTCCTTAATGTTTGAAGTTTTAAAAAATAAAGCTAAATAAATGGATTATTTTATACTTTGCCAAAACACTTGCCGAGTGTTGTTAGTATCATACTGTTCCCTGATCTCATGAGAGCTGACAGATCTTAGAATGAGAGGAAAAAATAATTGCCTCAGAACAACTGAAGGCAGAATTACATTTCCTTCAGTTTCCAGGAAGCTATTCTGAGTAATAGCAAAACAGAAAACTGCACAAAACCAATAAAAATTCTCATTTCATGGAATAAATCCTAGAATATCTGCATGAAAGTGGGTAGTCTGAAGAGTACTTGGGCTACACAAAACCAAACCTGCAGCTGTTGTTATAATTAAGATCGAGTCAGCCAAACTACTGAGTCCCAAACTTCTCAGATTTTACAATATTTCTCATCCTTGACCTATATAGGGTTGCCACCCAAGGTAGAGTGCCATCAAGGAAATATAATACTTATTCAGGCAATAAACCATTTAATGTAAACTTGCTCTCTATCTCTATCACTTTTTCATATTGCTGGGAAAATCATATTTATGACTCATTGCTTTGATGACATGAACCTGCTCCATGACCATTTCCGCTAAATCCCCCTTCTTGTTTACAATGTGTCTATCAAGAATCTATAATAATTTTCATAAATATAAGTTTTATAATAAATACACTAAAACGGGCTTTATATAACTATATTAAAGCTAGTTCCATTATTTCAGTCAGCTAGTCTTAATACTTTAAAGTGTACATTTTGTCTGAAAGATATTGTTTTTGAAATTGTGATGAAACTACATAAATATTTTTGGGAAAAAAAGATAAATTAATCAGGATTTTTAAGAACTCAGAGCAAAACTTTATTTTAGAAACTATATTTTTCTTTAAAATGTATGTAATATGGCTCTTCAAATGGATTTAAAACCCTAGAAAAAAATGAGGTTTTATTTCAGAGAGAACTTCATGAGTTGCTTGATATAAGCTTATTGGGGGTGAGAGTATGCAGTAATGACACATTTGTTTCAAACTTAACAATTGAGGGGCCTGTATTTTAGATTAGTATGCCCTTTCTAATATAAATTACTTTCGCAACTCTGCATGAAGTTTACCTCTTTTAGTTGCCCACTGTGCAGTCAGTATTAATACTGTGCAGTCAGTATTGATTATTAATTAATATTTAATAGGAGGAATATTATTCATATTAATGTTGTTTATAAACATATTTAATTTTCTATTGGCAGGTTCTTGTTCCTTTTTGCTTATTCAAATGAATGATAGCTCAGATTTATTAATAGGTTTGTGAGGGTGCAACATTCAGAATCCCTTTGAACATAGAACTTTATGTCTTGATTCTAGAGTGGAAACTGTTGAAACATTATTGTTGCTCAACTGTATACCACAGCATTAATACAGATATAACCTATAATAAACATGGAGAAAATATAGGCATCAGATACTGGTAAGCGATGAGCATGTATTTAAGAGTATTCACCTCGGGTCCTGTGTGCTGTTTTGAGTGCCACAGCATAAGAGAGAGAGCATCCACAGCATAAGAAGGAGAGCATCCAAAGAATGGCTATGAAGATGGGGAAAGCTCTGGAGGGGAAGCCATACCAGGAGCAGCTGAGGTCACTTGGTCTGTTCAGCCTGGAGAATAGGAGGCTGAGGGGAGACGTCATTGCAGTCTACAATTTCCTTGTGAGGAGAAGAGGAGGGTCAGACAGTGATCTCTTCTCTGTGGTGACCAGTGACAGGACCCAAGGGAATGGCCTGAAGTTGTGTCAGGGGAGGTTTAGGCTGGATATTAGGAAAAGATTCTTCACCCAAAGGTGTTTGGGAGCTGGAACAGGTTCCCCAGGGAAGTAGTCACAGCATCAAGCCTGCCAGAGCTCAAGAAGCACTTGAATAATGTTCTCAGGCACATGGTGTGATTCTTGGGGTTATTCTGTGGAGAGAGAGGAGATAGACTCAGTAATCCTTGTGAATCATAGAATCATAGAATATTGTGAGTTGGAACTCAAGAATATCCCTTCCAACTCAGGATATGCTATGATTTAATGATTCTATGATATATCTTGTGATCAGTCAGTTCAGATACTCTTGAATTTAGGAAATGTTCCTATGTAGATCCAAACCTGCTCAGCAGAGCCTTTCCATATGCTGTTTAAAAGCATCTGCAGACAGAAAAAACTTAACTATTTTTTCTGCTACTGTGAGCATCAGCACTGACTGGTAGATGATGCTTGGTGTCTGAGAGAAACATTCAGTCTCTCCCCATGGCAGGCTGCCTGCTCCTTCTGTGAGGAGGTTTTGAAGCATATCCTGGCAGGATGAAAAGAGCTGTTACAGAAACTATATTAAGAAGTTGTAAATCTCAGGCATAGCTTGATAGAGGGTACAGAGTTTAGGTGGAGGAAGCTTTTCAACTTCAGGTTTTCAGCTCCTGTTTTGATGGTGAGCTCCAGTGAGCAGTCATTTCTTCCACACTGTGCACTCCTGTAAAGGAGGCCAGGATCCTGTCCCCTTTCCCGTGGATGTAGAGTACAGTGGGTGAACTAGATACTCTGCTTATTCTCTGTTCTCTCCAGTGAAGACAGACAAGGACCACAGGTGTCCTGAAGCATCTACAGTTGCAGGCCTCCATTTAAACCACCCTGAAGCAAAACTGCAGATGTTTTAACCTACACTGTTTCTGTAGTTTCCTTTTAGCACCTTATTATACAAGTTAAATGCTTTGCTGTTCATTATCAGGAGCTAATCTCAGCCTGTTTATGCAGTGGGAAAACCACTGAAGAGACTGATTACAACTATAAAGGTTTTATTTTGACATGCAGGAAAGCAGAGAAGGGCTCATCTGAGTTGAGAGTCCAAGGGAATGTCTCACATCCAACCACCACTAGTAACATGAAAAATGACTGTCCAAGGCAATTAAACAAAGCATTACAGGAAGAGAAATATAATCTTTACTTTTTTTTCTTTTTCAGAACCACACAAGAAAGAAAAAGCGATGGAGTCTGGTGAATATTCTCTCCTTTTTATCTTACCTTTTAACTATCCTAATGTTTTAAATTAAATAATGTCAAAAGTCAATATTTAATTTTTTGTTTGTTTTTACAGCCAAAACAGCAAAGAGAGAAGTAAAAGTACATGGTAAGACCTGTGGAATATTGTAAGTTTTAGAGTCTCATTTATCTGGTTTGATTTTCAGTTGAGACAGGATTAGGTAGAAGGATAAAAAAAGTAATACCATAGATAAAGATTCCCTGGTTTAATAAAAGTAACTTAAGCAACTGAATTGCTGTGGAGCAGACATGCAGCCATTTGGTCTTCTGGAACTGAGATCTGATCAAATACTGTTGAGGAGCACAAGAGGTCGGTAATTCTTAATTTCAGTTTTTAAAGGGTTTGTCTTTTCAAGGAAGGGGGCTTACTTAAAAGTTACAGTAAATGGATGGAGAAACAAAAATAAAATATAAGATTCAGAGTGTAAAAGGGAGGAAAAAAGTAGATTGTTTAATATGTTTTTATTCCAAATACCCATGCATTTTATTGGTTTATTTTAGAGCAGCTAGATGGTCTTATTTCTAACTGGAATCCGCTTCTCAAGTTTATCCAAATCTGGGAGATCGTAAAGATTTTCAACTCCTTTTACAGCTAAGCTTGATGACTCATTCATCAGATGACTGCATTTTCTCAGACAGAAATTCTGAGCAAGAAATACCTACAATAGACAGCCAATTTATAGAAAAATGAATCTGTTCTTTTCTAAAGCATAGAAACTTACCACAGTGCATCAGAATGAAGGTATAAATAATGAAGAAAGAGAAATGTGGTAGTTAAATTAATTTGGATTTAGTTAATGTAATTATGAAGAATAATAAATTATCTGAAAAAACATATTTTCGAGGAAGATTTGTATAACTGGATCCTCCTCTGTATCCGAAGTTTTCAATAAAATAAAAAAAAAAGGAGAAAAAAATCCTTATCTTCTGCTAAATTACTAAAGGTGTCAAAAGATTTCTATCTTATACCCTCCCCCTCTGTTTAATATGTGCTCATTCTGAAACCCATATTGTTCCTTTTCTCGTTCACATTATTAAAAATAGTGGAGCTATTGAAGCTCCATACATAACTTATATATTGACCTTGTTTTCCATTGCTCTTAATCTGCAGGTTAATTAGTCATCTGCCATAAGACTATCCAAACAAGCAATGTACGTGTGTCAGTTTTTTCTACACAAAAAAATGAACTCCTGCTTCTGCATAGATAGCATAGGTAGCATATTGACCACGAGAAGAGATGTTAGGATCAGTCTTAATTTCTTTATTCATTTACAAAATTAGTGCCTGAGAATTTTCTTTTGTTTTATAGGATCTGAGCAAAATCCGAAGTTAAAAGGTGGGTAACTGTGTTTGTTTTTAAAATAGAAATGGAAGAAGATTGCTGTTAACTTTACTGTTAATGAAGAAGGCTTCTTGTGAAAAGAAGTTGTTAACAGGTGTGACATTTAAAACAAACAACCTTTTAAATTATAATGGCTTCTTCCTTGCAGCATCTCAAAGCAGGTGCCTTTTCCTAGAGTTATTCATAGACTAACTGTCAATCTCCAACTATATCAAATTCAATTTCTAATCCTAACTCAAACCATCAGGCTTTTGTGAAAGGCAGAAAGGAGAAATAACCAGTCTTCTACAGAGACATGACACAAAGACTAATATTTCTGTTTCTGTCAGTCCTACTGCAACACAAACCCAGTGACAGAAGTGTTGTTTTCTTTAAGGAATGGAGTTTTACAGGGAGGTTCAGTGAACCAGATTTTGCCTTCCTTTTACACATGAACTGTTGATGACAGAAGGGGGGAGGTGTGAGAGCATCAGTGCTTGCTTCAAAGGTTGCTCCTTTCCACAACACACAGGGAACTGGGACTGGTGAGAAACATTAAGGACATAAGTTCAAGTTGAGCAAATATTGAGTTGTTGACATCAGTGTCTGACTTTTTGCATGTGTACAATGCAAAATACTAGCTCCAAATTGCCTTCAATACCATAAAAGATTTAAGTTGTAACCTAAACACAAATGGAAAATGGAATGCCAAGTTACAAGCGCCCTTCACTCTCGATCCATGTTTACTCATATCAATGACCACCGTACTTTATAAACTATCTCTTTCAAACAAATGGAACTGCATGTATCAACTGCTTAGCCTTGTAGACTGTGGTCTCTGAGCTGTTCACCGCAAGTGGGGAAATGTCCCGGTTTAATACCCTGCTATCATTCAAGCATCATCTTTTACTTTAGAGTTCACCTCCGAAACCTCTTTCATGTTAACCAGTAAATACTGACACAAGTAGTCAGGTTGCATTGCAAGAGAGTACTCTTCTGGAGCATGAGGTTGCAGAATCACAACTGTGGAGATTAATGTAAGGAAATCAAAGCTGATACATTATTCCCTTTATTGGATGTTTTTTTAAGTTCCCTGCTTTATGGTTAAATTCATAATGTTGTCATTGCTCTGCAGCTAATTGTATTGAGCAAAACAGGAACCAGAGTAATTTAAGCATTTGTTCTCTTCATACTCCCACCAGACAAAACACAGAAACTAAAGGGGAAAAAAATGTGGTATTAAGCTTTTGCATTTTTAGCAAATTCTAGAAAGCCAAAGCTGAATATAAAAGTAGTCTTGCCACTATGTGTGACTGAATAAAGGTTGAAAAAAGGTGGATAGCTTTTGATTGCTTGAAGCCTCTGAATAAATTTTTTGATTTCTTCTGTAATGCTGCAGTATGCAGGACTCATCAACATTTCAATATCTGTGAACCCATTTCTGTCAAGCCTGTGACCACCACAGTCTGAAAAGAAGTGAAGCAATTATTTCTTACAAAATTAAGTCCCTTTCAGTGAACTTGAAGTTTTCTTTGGCCACTTTTGGAATATGTTGTCACATACCTTTTGAAATTGTTATCCCAATGATGGTATTTGCCCTTTTATTAAATGCTACTTTATTTAGGTCACTTGTAAAGTTTACAAATAGAGTTAGCAGGGGTTTTCAAACTACAGAGCATTTAACTCTATGCTTTATTGCTGTGAGTAACCTCATTTTTTTCATATTTCATATTTATTTAGATAAGAAGCAAATATTTGCATATGCAATAGGTCTTCATCATGCCACCAGCATTTTGAAGGATGGAAGTGAACTCTTCCTTATGAGCTCCTGAATTAAGGGGCATTTGAAAAAAAACTTTTAGGAACTTCACAGTTAATTAAGGATAAATAGAAATTTTGGGTTTCGCTTATATAATACAAGAATAATTCTTCTATTTCTGTTGTCAAAAGAACAGTCTCACAGCTGAAAGTGTTGGTCTCAGCTATCTTAGTTTTACCATAGGATGAACCTAATGTTGAACCTGAAATTATTCTCCAGTGTCTTAGTAAATAACAACTTTGTTTTAATCTTCATTAAATAGAAATAACTGATTTTAACTCTGGGGTAATTGTTGATTTCTTAAAAATTATTTCTTAACAAGTAATCTAAATTTAACTTTATGTTGCTAATTTTGAAACTCAAACATAGACTATACTCCAGGGGAAAAATTGTATTTATAAAAAAATGTTACAGCTGTTTCTTTTGCCACTTAGTAATAATCACAAAGGAATGCTGTTATTTTCTTCTATATTTCTTGTGATGCAGACAAATTCTAGTATTGCTTATTTGCTATAACTTTCACTAAATCTAATCAAGATCATTGCTTTTCAATCCATATTTATTTGTTCTTCCTTGATATTTATTTGCTTTTTTCTTATTTTTCTGCTATTAATCATTTTAGATGTAGCAGTTCTCTGGGCACAAAGTGATTTTCAATATTCAGTAGATGGTGACAAATTTTAAATTTTTAAGTACATTTTTGGAGGGCACACAGTCCTGTTCTGAAAACAAGCTAGGCTTTTAACGAAATTCTCTTCTTTGATAATTAAAAAAAAATAATCTCCTGACATAGAAGAAGGTCATTCCAATTAGCTTGTATGCTTGAAGAACTATCAAACTCATATGGAGTTTTCTTTCATTTTCTCACAAGCCACTACAGCATGATTTTTTTTCATTTCTCCATATAACAGGAACAGTTCCTAAACCATAATATACATTTCTTAAGTTAATGACCTCTTGAATTAGTGAGATCATGATAAAGAGCCTCTGACCTCAGGGTTCAGTGAGTGAAGTGTTTGTTATTTCCAGTCAGAGTGATTTCTTTCAGCCTTCCTTCACACTGAGCAAATATCTCAAAATATCTTTAAAATCAGTGACATTTTAGTATGCATATTTCTGCTGTGGATGCTAGTTATGCAACTTGACTCTTTTGGGATAAAAATACTCTGGTGAATTTGATTGTAGCCTACAACTATTGAGAGTGTAGAAATATTTGACTGATGAATTGCTCTCCTGGACACTTTCAGCATAAAACAGTATCTGCTGAGTTGTCTCTCATTTGATTTCTAAGAGCTTATGATGGAATCAGAGAAACAATTACCAAATGAATTACCCATTTGATCCACATTATGCAAAGTTGTCAAGAATTTTGCTGAGAAATAGCAAAAATATAAACAGGTGTTTCACTCCATTTACTTAATCTATTTTTTGAAAACATATCTTACTGAAAACATGGATCTCTGGCAAATTTCTAGTTTTACCTTGATATACATTTATTTTATTTTGTATTGTTTCAGGTAGGGGGTTTTTGTGGTTTTTGGTTTGGTTTTATTGGGAGGGGGTTGAATTTCTTTTTTTTTTTTTTAATACCTGATATTCTGCTGAGGAGAATATGATACCTTATAACACATTCATTTTACTTAAGTCATATGGCTAAAGGATCAACTTTTCAAATAGGGAACACCTGCAACAGAAACATTTTTTACAAAGAGATCACCTTTCAGGCTGCAATTCAGAAGTGGCATGAACTTTGAAATTGTCCAGTGGAAGGGATGACATCTTAAGCTATTTAGAAAACCTGTCACTGTTCTGATAGAAACAGAGTTGGAGTCTTATTTTAAACACCGAATATGTGTGCAGGCTTTCTATTTATGTATACTGTCAAAGTGACAACTATTACCTTGATGATAAAAGACCTCTCAGCATTACCAAAGCAGCTCACACCTCCCTTGTTTAGAAGCAAAGAGAATAATGGAATGTCCTCTTTGTCCTTCCAGATATTGCTCTGCCATGTCCAGATGATGCTACTTGGCAGTTCCCAAAAGTTACTCAAGCTCTGTTCTGTCTCAGCAAGTTCCTCTTTACTAACACTCACTCAACAGAAGTGAGTGCACTGATGCCCAGAATACTATAGTACAATAGTTATAGTAGACTCGACATTTCTCAAGGATGGTTGGTTCCTTCATCATAACCATACTCATGGTCTACTCCCACCACACAACTTTGATGACTCTAAATACCTGATCTTCTTAGAGAACCGTATAGCTCTTCTAGCCTGCAGTTCAGTAGTCAGAAAATGCTTTTACTCCATTATTATTCTGGTTTTAGAAACTTTACAAACCAAAACTGCTTTCCTTTTAGCTAAAAAGCACAAACATGTTTTGGAGAAACAAAGTTCTCAATAACTCATTTTACTCTTATCATAGGTGCTTTCACAGCTTTAGATACTAAAAATGTGTTTTGGAATACAAATGGGACATGCTTCTGGTGGCACTTTTTATATATTTCTCTCCATATTAAAAGAAGCTTATTCTTCAAGATGTTGACCACTTCAGTAGAATTTTTAGAAGCACTGTGATATCAATTCGTTCAGTGGCAGGTCTCAGTGCTCAGACTCACCTAGTTCATTGTTAATACAAGTAGCATTGCTGATCTGGGCCTTAGTGACACGGATGTTAATAGCAGAGATATACAACACATATTAAGGGACTTTACTCCTCTTCAGCTTTCTATGTGTCTGTGAACACCAATACAAAATTAGGTACTTGGATAGAAATGGAATACTCTTTTTTTTTTTTTTTGAGGATTGAGTCAGACATCTTTTCAACCTAGACTTGATTTTCAGGGTAACTGAGGTGCAGAAGTGCAATATTTCACTGTTTACATGAAGCTTGCTAACAAACACATGCACATCTCACAGCATCCTGGGATAAACAAGAGCAAGTGGCAAGGGAGTGATTGATATCTGTGAGTTGGTCCATCCCACTCAATGTGAAGTAGTTCATCTGTCCATACTTGACATTTCTCTGAGTCTCAGGATTCAGGGAATCTGGGAACAGATCATTCTTTTGGCCTCCAGCCCACCAGAAGACATTGCAGACAGGCCATAATTTACTACCTGAGCTGATCTTCTTGAGCCATCATGCCCAGCAACTTCAGAATGCTTCCCTGCTGCCTGGACTGCAAGCCTGGCCCCAGAGGCACCACCAGGACATCCCTTCAAAAGTAGTGAGCACATATGGAGGCTCTTCACAGGTCCTTTGAATTCCCTGACTTTCCCAGCATAAATAATGGTAACAAAACATGATCCTCAGAATTTACCTTATCTCTAGAAGGCAAACTCTTAATTTTCAACTCTGACTTGTTGAAAGAAACCATTTTGCTAAAAATATTTTTTTGCTTGACAGGTTGACATAACAAGCTGAGAGGTTGTTATATGCTAATACCTCTGAAGCTGCAAAGACATTTCTATACTTATCAGATGTAAATTAATTTTCTCTGTCCACTTTACATCCTGCCACTTACGCTGATTGTCTATTCTTTGCACTACTTTTAAATAAGGCAATGACAGTGAAGCTTGTTTTCTTAATGCCACATGTTTTTTTGTCTCAAACACTCTATGAGTGTTTTTAAATTAAAGCAAGGCTTTTCACTTAGCATGTAGTCATAAATTATGGCTACAAAAATTTGGTTCCACAAAAGTGAAGTGTTGGTGTTGCTTAGTTTATAGCTAAACACATATATTCATAGGTATGCAAAACATAATCCTGAATAATTCAATTAGAAAATATGTGGTTTGTCCTAAATATATAATCTTGTACATTGCCAAAACTGCAATGTAAATTGTCAGAAACTATAAAATATACCCATATTTCCTAAGAGAGTAAAATCTGAAGGGATTCCTTCTTGCACCATCTCTTTTTAGATAATTTAATCCTTAGTGTGGAGCCATGAACAAATTATCTCTGTCCCTTGTCTCTCAAGCTGTGCAACTAAATTAAGAACTGCTCAAGGTGAAGCTTGTGAACAAGCAATTGGATATGTCCAGGCATCCTGACCTGTTACAACTGCTTCCCCTAGCATCAGTAAAGGTCTAGCAGCTCTGCTGCACAAGTGGTCTGGTTCGCGTGTCTCTCTTGTACGCAGAAGTCTCAGTATTCAAAAGGATCAAGTTAGGTGTCATAATCTAAGTACAGCTAATCTGTGGCCTGTTATCGTCACTGAGACTAACAACATGCTTAAAATTACGAATACAGGGAAATATTTTGCTGTGTTAGGGATGCAGAGTGGAGGTTTCTGTTGGAGCAAACAGAAAACCATGCTTGCTTGGGGAACCCTCACAAAGTAAAAACCTGCTTGCTTTTCTCCCTTCTCCATTACATGATATGTGCTGCAGTTTAGCATCTCTTTCACCTGACATCATAGAATCATAGAATGGTTTGGGTTGGAAGGGACCTTAAAGATCATCTAGTTCCAATCCCCCTGGACTGGGCAGGGACACATTCCACTAGACAAGGTCTAGAAGAAAATGCTACTATTTATATTCTGAAAGGGGAAAAAAAAATTATCCTTTTTCAGGCAGGTATAAGATACCTATTATGTATTCATATACTGGAGGGGGAAAAATCTCATAATTGCATTTAAGAAGAGCTTTTTCTGATGTAGCAACACTTCTGACTAAAATCTTACATAAACCATATCTTTTATTTGCATCAGGATCTGAAAAGAAGGAAGTAAAAGCAACAAAGGCAACAGAACAAGGTAAAAAGAGAAGCATGTTGGCATTATCTTTCTTAAAAGACAATAGCACAGAAACAATAACCTCAGATTCAGAGAGCTGGATGACAGTAACCTTTCAGGTTATTTTTCAGGGCTTTACTGTGTTTATCAGAACAACAGGAAATTTCCACTATGAAACTGGCTTTGTCCCACTTCCACAAAACTGCAACCCCAATAAAAGGCTTCGGGTGCCCGCTTCAGCTTAAAGGTTCTGCGTTGCAACTTTGTGTCCCGCCAATCCTGCAAGGGGCTTCCTGCCTCTGCAGCCTGGGCAGGGATCAGCCTTTGCTATTTAGTCTTAAAGCGTAAGTCACAATGAGGTAAAGGCGCAGAGGCTCCCTAAAGTCAGCTGAGTTGCCCTTCCTGTCCCAGATGAAACATTAGCCCCATGAAAAGTCACAAAGGTCCACTTTACTGAAACTCAAAAGCTTGTGAGACCTGACCTTCTGGAAGTTTTTCACGAAAAGCTTAGGATTGGTATGGATGAGGCTTGAGTGGGAATGTCTGAGTGGGAACACTAGAAGAAGAAAGCCTACAAGAACCTCATGTGTTGATGGCTTATAGTTCAGAGGGACACAAAGTCTACATACAGTATCCCAAAACAACCATAGCAGGAACACCAAGGGACCACCTATACCCAAGCTAAAACAAAACTCGAGCCATTGAGTGATGATGGTAAACACAAAAAGAGAAGGACTGAAGCCTTAAACCATGGAGATAAATGTGTCTTTTCCCATCATATACACTTAGATTTTTTATTATTATTATTACTTTCAGCCTTATATCCTGCACACTTGCTTCTTGTATGCTTGTTAAAAGCAATCCTACTTTTTTAGTTTAGTATGGTAAGGAGCATGGTAAAAGATTGATGTAAATACCCAAACCTTATCAACCCTGACTGTCTTAATGTCATACACATCTTTGCCTATTGTATTTTATTACTAACAAGCTACCAAGGTGATTTTTGTATTTATTTATGCTCAAATTGGCAGTTAAAACCCTGATGATGAACTTGCCAGTAACCTTCAGAATAAGGTCTGAGACATACTTACTGATGTAGCTTTGGTCAGATGAGCTATTATCCCTTTCTTTTCTCCAGTTTCTCAGCTTGTTTTCTTCAGCATTAATCAAGCCAGCAGAGATACCCTGCAGCAGCTGTCAGCAGCTTGATAGTTGTCATGGAAAATGTTATAATTAGGTGGGCCTTGGCCTACATTTCAGTCATTGTTAGTCTGAGTATCTCCACACTGTTTTCCGCACAAGTACTTACTTACCAGCCATCTACATTGCCTCCCCTCTGTTTGGCTATCTGATGCAACAATGAGGTGTGTGATTGCTGCAAGATTTGTCCTTTCTACAATGTACCACCATTAGATGGGACTTTGTCTGCCAAATACTTTGACTGTGCCATAAAGAGCACAGACTGAACAGTACAAACTTTAGTTTCACATGGTTGGCACAGAGCAGAGATTTCTAAACCACAGGTTGTGGTTTAGAATTCAAAAGGGGGGCAAATTCCCCAAGGAATTCAAAGGATTCTTACTTCTGCACCCTATGTGTATGAAGCTACTGCCAATACATCGATCACTCAAAGACAAACAAGTCCAATAAACATCCAGGACATTTTTTGAACATCGGCATGCACTAATCATGCTCCTCACAGAGGATTATTGTGCATCAGGATACATTTCAAAAAGTAGAGGGATTCAGACCTAGACAAAATTGGGATTTGTAATCTGAGAAAAACACTATAAAAAAACTTGCAGAAAAATCTGGAGCATTGGCAGCTGGATTTGCTTAGCAATCAGAACACAGCTTCACTGTTTCAAACATGAAGGTTTTAGTGACCTTCCAATCTATTGCAAATCCCTACCTCTGGAAGTGGGCTGAAAGGTTGTAGCAACATTTCACTTCATTGATCTTCTATTGGTTGTAAAGCAAAGTTGTATGTAACATTTTTAACTGTTAAAAGGTGAGTAAGAAGGCACTTTAACTCTTTGTCCTATGTGTTTGAAAAATGACATGAGTAAATGCCAGGGAGTTACTGCCTGTTACTGAGAATTAATATTTAAAAGTCATGATGAAAAGGCAAAAATTCTTTTCTTGTGATATTCAGTAGTACTAAGAAAGGAGACTATTGCCATTGGTTAAAGCACATCATATGACACTGGAGGTTTTCACACTCTTGTTGCGTGTATACAAGGCAGGAGATGGGAAACATGAACTTTATTCACATACACTGTCAAGCAACAGTGGAGTAGAAATCACTCTCAACACATATTTAAGCACTTAGGGTCAGCATGCACTTAAATACATTTTCATTAGCTGATTATATTAAATATAATTTCCCGTGTGAACATGCATTCTAACATTTCCTTTTTCTTTTCTCTCTTCACTTTTGTTTCCCTTCTCTTCTCTTTCCTCAGATAAACCAAAGACGAAACATGGAAGTAAGCCGTATTTTATGTATTGCTTCTCCCTATAACTGAAAAAGTGATTTCAGATCTATAAATAATAAAAAAAATAATAACTGCTGGTACTAGTCAGAATTGCAGATTATGATTGATTAGACAGACTAAAACTGATACAACATAGCTGATAATAGTAATAATGCATATGTTAAGAAATTCCTTTTTATGCCCAAGAAGTTTCATCCCAATACTGTACATTTTTCCTGGACAAAAAGAAGAGTCTTATGAAATACCAGTACACAAAAATATTTATAAATTTTATATTTATTATTTTACACAAAAAATTATTCTCTCCACACTTCCTATGCTCACTATAGGTGTCAGTCATGTATTCTGATTTCAATATGAGCTTACACTGCAAATCAGCACAAGGCTTTTGACATGGGATTTGTGCTACATGTCGTCATTTTGTCAAGTTACAGCAGACTTTCTAATAGACCTTGATGAGTTCAATCTTACAGAATTTACTAGGATTTACTTACAGTTTAAATTCCCATTTACAGGTCAATGCTGTTTCATTTCTTCAAATTCTTCAGCAGCACATGTGTCACGTGCCACAATGTCTAAAAAAACATTTTTTTTTCTCCTGAAGATGACAACTACCTCTGAAGCACGTTTCCAAATGTTTCCTTGTTTGGGATTACCTGGGACTTCAAGCTTTGTCAACAATGACTTAAGCTTTCAGTACAGAATTGTTTAAGGTTCTCTTTATCAAAATGCCTCATTAAAGTAAAATCTTCCACAACAGTTTGAGTAACTATGTTACTAATAATGGAGGTGCACAGCAACTTTAAGTTCTTACGGGCAGACTTCTGAAAGTAAAGGCTTTATATCATGCATAAAGTGGCTTATTTTGGCTGGAGGTCTGTCTTTCACTATCCTCTTTCTTTTTGTAGACACTATTGCACTGAACATGGAATTTCTTGGGAATTTTGCATGACTCATGAGCACAGAAGAACAAGTTTTTCAGTCTTCCCACTGAGTTTTCTTTCTGTTTGCGCAGATTTCTGTCATTAACTTAATATTTTAAAAATGGTATTGATATTTTATTAAGAATTTTAGAGATACTGAGTTCCACTCTATATGACTCACAGATATCTGCAGTAAATAGTTTATTTTCTCACTTTGAAAACAAGTGACTGAATTGTACTGATGAGTACAAAACATGAAGGTCAAAGCAGGACAGCAGTATTTTCTGAAGCAGATGTCTGGGATGTAGTAAGGAATAGAAGAGACAGGGTTTTTTACAATAAAATTACACTTTTGACCTTGTTTAACAAATTTCTTTCCCAAGTCTTCTACTTTAAAAATCATATTGCCTGGAAGTATTGAGTATTGCCTATTTTGAAACAAAATATAGAAGGAGAAAAATAATGAAACGTTTATTTCTTGATGTCAGTTCCAACACATTTTGTGGACTGAACTTTCTGGATGGAAAAAGGTGAATTTGGTACAAATCTCTCAAGAACTCAATTTTTTACCATATCTTCCAATATACAGTTTTAGTCTCTCATATGATCTAGATGCTTCATTTTCTCTTATAGTTAAATCTTATATTTGCACTCAGTTATGGCTTCTAACTGTCACTTTATCAGTGTGACTGCTTCTTTTACAGATCCTGAAAAAGAGAAGGAATTGAAATCTCCAGCAGCTACAAAAGATAAAGGTAACCTGGCAGAACAAATTTGTATATAGCTCTAAGATCTTGAAAGGCACTGAGCATTTTGTTTTTAGAGTATAGTTTAGGTAGGAATTCATGTGCATAATATTATTTCACTAAATTTGCTGTGAAACTTAATTGGCATTACCTGGATTAGAAGTGCAAAGAGAGTCCTGGTAACATCTGTATAAAAACTGACAAGTCCAAACTTAGAATTTAGGAAACTTGATAACATTTATTACATGCTGCCAAGTGAAATAAGTTTTAGGTGATTTTGTCTTTCATCAAACTTAATAAAAATTGTGGTTTCACTTTGTGAACATGCTAAAACTTATGAAAATCAGTTTTGTTCTACACATTTAATTGGTATCTTGTGTCAGTTAGAAACCATCAATTATTCAATCAATCATTACCCCAGATGTATGAGATGTTAACCTTTTATCACTCTAGTTATTATTTTTACAGCACATGCTAAAGAAAAGGAAGAAAAGAATCCTACATTTTTAAAAGAAAAAGGTAAGACTACAGATTAGAATATAAAACTTACTGAAAACCTCAAGAAAAGGAATTAAGGTGCTAATTTTAAAATAATCATTATCAATCTTTCTCACTATAAATCTCAACCAATCAAAATTTAATTGGCTAAAATATTCTACAGTATTTATGTCATGAAAAAAGCAGGAGGGGGAAAAAGACAGAATATGGTGAGCCAATTAACATTTGAAAGTCTCAAAATTAATTAAATAAATATCACAAAACTATTACTCTGGGTAATAGTTAAGAACCTTCAGAAAACCTTCCTTGTCTGAACAATGCCAGTTCTTTAATAGGAGCCAGTTAACAAAGTCTCAACTGAATCCTTGCATAAATCTTTGGATATACTAGGAATAAAGTAAAGTTTATAAATATATGAGTAGGAAATGCGCTTTCTGGGCTCTGTGAAAGCTATAGCTAAAAACCCAGAGCTTCATCTGTTCAACCGTCTTCAACATGAGAGATGGTCCAAATCTTTTTGTGCTACTGATTTTTATGAAACATTTCCCATGTATTGGTTTTTGTAATTTGGACAGCTAGATTTCCTTTCATCACTTGTTTTGCTGGGTGCTTTTTATTCATCTTATTTCTTTCCTCCTTATTACAAATAGCTTTATTTGAATGAAGTGAGTTATGGATAACTTATTTGACATGTTATTCAGGTACTTCAGAGTAAAAAGACCTACATTATATAGAAGGTTTAGTATTTATTCTAAGTTATGGTCTATAAGTATTGTAAGTCTATAGATATATAGGTGTAGTCTATAATATATAGATATAGTCTATATAGATGTATTTTCAAAATCCTAGAATCTATATTCATTCACTCCTTTATTCACAAATTTAAATTAAATTATAGCAGTCTTCAAATCCTGTGGTGCATATATTGTTCTTCTATGTCTATTCTACTCCTAATGTACACACACCCTACGTACATGAGCTTAGTTATCTGGACCAGAACTGTATACTCAACCTCTCTGGGGTCCTGTGGCCCTCTCCATGGACTGCCTGTAATCTATGGCTGCCTGTAATGATGGCGTTGTGCTGGAAAATTAGAGGAGAGACTTGAGTGACAGCTCTGCTGCATCTTTCCCTGCATGGAACACATATGCTCAGCCTGATACTCTTTTCAAAGGATTAAGGGGAGAGGGGGAGCAGAGAAAAAGAAAGAGAGAGAAGACCCAAAATTTTTTTCTCCCTGGCAAGAATTTCTTTAGATCCAATGAAAAAGGGGTTTACCAGCCCTGAACAAGCTTCCTCAGTGTGTCCTTTGCTGAGTGCTCCCACAGCACTGCTTTTTATCTCCTGGGCTCATATTTAATGTATCAGCAACGTCAATTAAGTTATTTACAGGTCCTTCTAACATGACAAAGGAGGTTACGCATTCTCCAATCAGCCTTCAGAAATGGGCAGGCAGGAATTTCTTTTAAATATCAAAGTGCAGGCCAAGTTATAACAAATTTCTTACATTTTGGGAAAACGAGACAAAAGTCTCTGTAAAAATTCCAACATGTTAATCAAAGTGTTACCAACCAGAGCTCCACACAGTCCTCTATGCCAAATGCATTACTGCTGCTGAGAACAAGATCTCGACCTGCTACTCAATGCTGAATACAGCCATAAATGCACCACAGGCTCCTGATACCCTGAAGTAGCACTGATGAGCAGCCCACCTGAGCCTGTCCCTCAGATCCTGAGAGCACTTGCTCATGTAGCCATTGCTGTTTTCCATAATAGGCATCAAATCTTCACAGTTTTGTACCTGTGTCTGAAAATGAAGGTGCTGATTAGTGAGCTGTATAGCTCAGTTCAAAACATATTGACATCAAAGACTCCATAGGGAGAACTTATAAAGCTGTCTGTGAGAAACTCCTAGAAACCTTGGTGACTTTCTGTGTGTTTTCTTATTGCATTTTGCATTACTCTGCTACATAAACATATATTTAGCACTGTAAATCCCCCATTTCAATCACCATATTTGATCAAACTGTAGTTCATAAATTAATCAAAGCCTTATTTGCATGTTTATTTGCATGAACTCTTTCACCTCTCTATCACCTCTTCAAGCCTCATCAGTGGGCCTCTGTAGTTTATTAACCAGATCACTGGGGACTTCTTTTCGCTCTGCGACTTGGTGTCTTATATAGCTCTTTCTTAAGTGGATGTTTTTGACAAATATAAATATTTCGAAGGACATAGGAAAGTAAGGATTTTTAAGACTGCATATACTTCCTAATCAGGTATCTTGGTAGTTTGTTACTATTCATGTAAACCAAATAAAGGAACACTTCTACATGAAGTGTTGAATATTTGGGGTGATTAATATTTGCCTGGCACCTTATGCACTAAGGGAGGTATTATCGTACCTCATTCTCTTTGACGGATGGGCTAAGGTTGAATGAACAAGGATGATGTCCAGACCAAAACCCTTATCATAAAGCAGACTATTTTTCATAACCTGAAGCATAGTGGTTTTATTTAAAGCAGAAAGTGGAAAAATAAATCCCTGAATCTAGAGTTATTGCTGGGATACTCTATAGATCACAACCTCAAAACATTGCTTTATCTATTTTATGAGGTGAACAAAGTGTCTTCAGTCTTGGAGACTAGTTTTATTGGCAGTAATTAAGGAGAACACTGGAATAATATATTTTCCATTGCCTTGTAATAAAGGACATCTCAAGACTCCATCTGAATTTATAACTAACTTTTCATCTTTTTCCTGCAGTAAAGAAGCCCATTTGTACTAAAAAATATAAAAGCTGATTTTCTGTTGACATAAGCATATTCAAAAAATTTGAGGCCAATGAAATTCTAAGGTATAATTTGCCAGGTGGTTTTTGGGTAGATAACTTATTTATTCAGAGTCTCTAATAGTGGCACTAAAAGCTCATGATATAGTATATACAACCCCTCACTGAGTTTTTCTAAGAGCATTATGCTGAGATATTAAACTGAGAGCAGTTGTGCTGTACAGATAATGTAAATTCACTCTTACCCTATGGTACAGGATTTGTTTTCCAAACAAATGCTCCTCTTTTCTTTCTTCTTTGCTTTTGCAATGTTTTTGATATATCTTTGCATCTTTTCTTATATCAGCTATGCATGAATATGCATGTTTATTTTTATGCACAGATTGGTAGGGGAAATAAGTGAGTAGTGTGTATTTCTTTCTTGCCATATACATAACAGCACATTGTTATTAAAGAAAAAAATTGTGCTGATTTGCACTCACTATGAAATGCTTATGTTTCCTTTAAAGCAAAAGTAATATGGAATAACATCTTGCCTACTACATTTTTTAATCTTAACTTATACATATTTTTTTCTTTAAATGCAGAAGTTATATTGTGAGACTCACCTACAGAAAGGCAGTGTCTTCCTATTTCCATTTGTTGTCATTTGCATGAGAAGCAGGTCCTTATCTTGAAGATATCACACACTGCTGCTCTTTCATCTTTCTATACCATCTTCCTAGCCTGACCCAGCTTTACGCCTGGAGTAGAACGCGTGAGCAAAGTAGCAAGGCAAATGCTGGCTTTAAGAGAGCATTTTATGTTTTTCCCCTTCTGGGACTAGCAGGAAAGTGGTCAGCTGAGAGGAGAAGTTTGGAAAGTCTTCAGTGAATCCCTGTATGAACCTCTGAAAATGAAAATCTGCACCTGGGAAGGAAAGCATAACTGGTGATCTCAGCAGTCTTGGCTGAGAGGGTGGGGAAGTTGGTGTGCCATGGAAAGTGTCCAGCTGCATCCAAAAGTTGTAAGAGTCAAAAGTGCTGAATCTGTTTCAGGAGCTACACATTGTAGGAAATCTCAGGGAGATCTGCTACATGGATGATGAAAAAAACCCCTCATGACTATATGCCACCAAACCCATAAGGACAAAGGCAATGTTTTTTTGGCTGTGACTGCAACAGTGGCTGCTGATTGTTGAAATCACAAATTTACCCAAAGTAAAATGGTCAATTGGGTAGCTGTTGACTCAAGGCTTCTTATATAATCAACATATAGGCTACTTCAAAGGATTTCAGTTTTCACACTGCAGGTTTTCTCTCAGTCCCACAAAGAAGGGTCCACTGGTGCTGTGAAGAGCAGGCTTCTAAGTGAAGAGCCTATCCCTTCACAGTGTGGTTTCTCCAACAACTTCAACCATCCTGGAAATGAACTTTTCCTGTTACAACTCACACTTAAGGCCAGATGGATAAGTGGGATCACTTCCTGGTACCATGGCAGCCAGGAGAATGTTCAGAGTTATAATTATTTTGTAAAGGATCTTCTTTTAGCTCTATCTATTTTACTGAAGATTTGGTTTACTTTCATTTGGAATAAATGGTATGTTTTTTTTCCAGATGCTTAGGTGCTATATCCTGTCAGACAGAATGCAACTGGGACTACTCAGCACCCTGCAAGCTCTGATATTCTCTCACTGAAACCACATACATTCATAAGCCTATAAAACTACTTCCTTACTTTGGCAAAAACTATTTTCTCTTAATTTCCTTGATATATACTCTTAAGAGGTCAAGAGACTATTGCTTGAAAAAATTATTTAAACATTAGTTGTTTCTACAAAATAACATGCTTTTGCTGTGTTTGATGGCCCTAAGTGCATGTTTCCTGAAGGATTGAGGTAAAAAAAATATTCTTCAGACAAAAAGAGAAAGCAGAATAAACCTTTCTCTCTTCATGAAGTTTTGTATAAAGCCCTAAGAATTTCTAATTCTGTGTCATTACTTGCATTTTCCCTTTCTCCTTTCCAGTTTCTTCCTTCTATGAGATCTCTACAGACAACCATCTATAGCAACTTAGCAACTTCTACTCTTGCATTTACTACTAACATTATTGCACCTTAAAAAATATGAGGTGGTTGCTAGAGAGGATGTAAAGAGACGTTAAGGTTGTATCCATTTATGTTCACAATTTTAGTCTTGATTTTTAAATATTTCTTGGGTTTTCTTTTAAA